TAATAGGTTTCGATGTAAAAGCCTAGGAATTGTGCCATCCATCCAGTTACAATTACTACCTGACTCAAGCCTGCCAATCTGATACTAGAAGCCACCCATTAGGAGCACACAGGGTCGTGCCTCATAAAGAAAGAAGGAATGCTTATTAACTAATTTCTAAAACAATGTTTCCCTCAGCTCCACAGTAGGAGGAGGGCACTCTAAACCAGACCTAGACTAAACCAAACCTAGAACTGTGCCATTTCTAGAGCTTAAGGAAGTAGGGTTCATACCTTGGGGTGACTGTTGACCAGCTGTGTGGCCTGGGGAAGTCCCTTCACCTCTCTGAGCCCTCTGTTTCTTCCCAGAAAAGTGGGGCCAGCTGTCTCTGTGGCTGAGGGTTACTGTGGGGGTTTATGGAGACAGTCTTTACAAAATGCCGGGCACACCACTCTGAGTGCTGTAGGTATGCACTAATGAGAATGTTGCTGTAACTCGGGGGCTTTCTTGCTCCTCTCAGAACGCCTACCATGTAGAGACTAAATGTTCTCAATCATCGCCATCTTCTTCTCTGTCATGCTCCTTGCACAAAGAAAATATGAAAGCAGGTCTCTCCTTGGGAGTCTGCCCTGATGGCAAGGGTACTACAGAGCAATTCAGAACTGGCAGCTCTTAGGCCAAGGCTGGGTGACTCAGGCAATGACCCTGAAAACATCCCAGGAGCCCACACCCGAGGATTCCCTTCACATCTGTCCCCTCTTAACACCCCAGCTAGACCATGTGATAATGGTACTATTTGGGCTTTATGCTCCCGAATAAATTAAAATCAGGTGCAGGAGTGTTGTGTTTAGGCTGGATGACTGAGCTTTACCATTGCTGAAAGAACTACCAAGGAAAGATGTGAAGGAAGCCAACTAAAACAGGGAGGCAAGCCCGTGGCCGACTGCTTAGAGAATCCTGGAGCCCTAAGATTCTAGGCCTGGGAACTGAGAAGATGGCTCAGTGGGTAAAAGATACCCAAGAATAAGGGCCTGAGTCCTGATCCCACCACCCATGGAAAACACTGTGGCAGGATGGGCATCTAGAACCCCAGCACGGTACGGACTTGGGAACGGGAGGGTTGCTAAGGCCTGCTGGCTGCCAGCCTGGCTCCAGGCTCGGTGAGAGACGGATCCTGCCAGAAAGGAATAAAGCAGAGTATCTGATATCCTCTGCTTTCCACATGTGCATGCGGTCATGCTTGTATGTGCACATGTAACACATACATATACATAAGAGAGAGAGAGAGAGAGAGAGAGAGAGAGAGAGAGAGAGAGAGAGAGAGAGAGAGATCTCGATCCAGGCAGGGGGCTGGATGGTCAAGGCTTTCCACGTTGCAATGAGGAGAACCAGCCATCCTCACACATCAGCATACTTATGAATCCCCTGAAATACTCAGGACACATGTGGGTTCCAGGCCAGCCCCTGTGATTCTGATGGAGGAAGTCTGCCATGGAGACCCTGGAATCTGCATTTTCATGAGTGTCTTGGTCATTTCTGCGCAGGTGTTCGAGATCCACAAACACCAACAGACTCCCCACAAAGCCCATTTCTGTTCTTTGTTTTAAGATAATGAACACCTTTCCTGAGACAAAAGACAGGAAGGGAAGGAACTGAACTTCAAGCCTTCAACTCAGTAAAAATTCAAGATAATTAATAGAAATTGGTTACTTGCTAGAAAATGAAGTATTCATGTGCACACCATAGATTGGGTGAAAAAATAAATTATATTTAGATGATTTAATATTTCTGAGATGAAATAAATCCAATGGCTGAGTGAAAGGCAGGAAGTAAACCTCTATGATCTGAAGTTATCCACCAAGGTAACATTTCAGCTACCCATTGTGTAAAGGAAGCCTGGACCAACAACATCAAAAGGCATCGACCACATCCAAGAACACATACCAGGGAGGGTTAAACACAACAGCATCTGAAAAAAAAAATGGCTATTACCAACCCACATAAATCCACAGAGAGGTGTTTGGGGTCCAAGGTGACCTAATGTTTTCATAAATAACTCCAAAGATGGAGTGGGAATTATGCAAATCAAACCACAGATGATACAAAAATGGCAGGGATTGCAAGTCTGTGGAGAATGGAATTTAACTACTGGGCAATGTCTTTAAATTTGCCTTTATTGAATCTTGTATATTGAAGTCACACATTATTGTATCTGTTTATTGAGATTCAATGGGGCCAAATGTAGAGTGATTTATGGAAAGAGAGATAATCAAATGCCTCGGGAGAAAGATTCCACACCTGGAGAGACCCTGGTGCCGGACAGATAGGAACTGACTGGGAAGTGGTTAGGTGTGCACAAAGCAGTTGGGTAGTCTCTGACAATGTGGGTTGTTCCAAGAGCTGGTGTATAAATCAAACAAGAAAATGTCTGCTCTTTGAGCTACTTGGCTTTGATGCTACTTCCAGTAGAAGTGCTTAAATATAGACCCGGAAGGGAATTCAGAGCAGGATGTCACCGAGATTATGGAGTAAGACAGACCCTAGTTCATCCAAGAATTCAGCAGATGCCAGACCAAAATGCTGAGCACGCCTATCTGCTGGGAAGGAGACACAAAAGACAAGGGGATGGCAGAGAGAGTGGTTCCAGCTCCCATTAAGGAAAACAGTCGTGGGAAGCACAGCTGGAGGGAAGCACAGCTGGAGCAGTGGTGGGGAAAGGGCTAGTGGTAACACCATCCCTGGGGATGCTGCAGGAGGGCGACAGGACACCTCTCTAGTTAGGATGCATTAGAGATTATTAAAAGCATTCCTTGTCCAGCTAAGGGGGGGGGGGCTTCATGACCTCTCCAAAGGTCACTTCTACCCCTAGGGATCACCTGTCTGAAGGGCACCAGATAAAAATAAAGTCTATTAATCACCAAGCTGTCACACAATGTCCTGAGAGAGCCAGAATGAAGAAGGGCAGACTGCAACGGACCTTGCTTTGCAGAGGGAGGAAGAGGGAGGCCGTACATAGGTGGGCAGAGCCAAGGAAGTAGCTGCTGAGACTTCCGGAAAGCTGGTGCCATCCTGTGATGAGTCCTCCCAAGTCCTTCTTCAGGGGAAATGGAGAGGAAGTGACCCTATGGGGAGGGTAGCAGAAAGCAGCCAAGGACACCAAGAGCCCCTAAGCAGAGCTGGGAGGTTTGGAGGAGAGGGTCTACTAGAAACACAGAGCAGGAGCTAGGAGGAAGGGGCTGATACAGAGGCTCTGTGCAGGAAGAGGAGAGCCAGGAGCCAGGCAAGAGGGCACTCGTAAAGGATGCTTCATAGAGATAATACACTGGGACACAGACGTCAGAGAAAGAGGAGGGCAGAAGAGAGCAAGAAAAAAGAGCATCAAGAGTGTGTCTAGAAATACATAAGACATGGAATCCCACGAAAATTCTAGAAAGAGAGCCCGGGAGATGGCTTAGCAGGTAAGTGCATTTGAACACCAAGCCTGAGGACCTGACTTCGATCCCTGGAACCCACAGGTGGAAGGAGAGAACCAACTCCTACAAGTTGTCCTCTGACCTCCACACGTGCCATTGCATGCATGCACCCCACGCATGGACACACAATCAGTCACCAATCAATGCAATAGGAACGTCTTTGAAGTTACAGAAATAGAGTGAAAAGCTAACCCCACTATCTCCAGCAGCATAATGGGAAACATAGCTTTTTAGAAGAGAAATGGAGTAGCCATGTCTCTGCTTCAAAGCAGTTGCTGGCCCTCTTAGTGGGGTGCTGTACACAGCTGGAAATCCCACCCACTGCCCAGTCTCCCAAGGACCAGCATGCTTGGACTGTTCACCTATCAGGACATCTGGGAAGTGAGGCCCAGACCAAAGCAGGCGCCTTCTGCCAAAAGGCACCAGACCTCAGGCCCTGCTCCCTTCCCTTCCTGGACCACAGTTGCTTGAGGATGGTGATGTGACCTGCAGATGTCTCAGGAGTCTCATCTGCATGGTGTATTGAGCAGCCCAATGAGAGTCATGGAGTTTGAGTTCTAGCAAAATGTTGTCCCACCAAATGTCATCCCCACAGGGCACAGAACATTGTGAAGTCAAGGATAGGGGCAGGGTACCACCCCATTGTGCTCCTGATGTCCTATCCCCTGGCTTTCTTTGCCTCCACAGAGCTGCAGGTCCTGACAAGATGGAGAGGTACCCCAGAGAGACCACCATGCCAGGTCCTACCTTGTCTAGCTTCCTGCTGTTCTCAGAGCAGCCTGGTCCTGGTGACTAAGCTCTGGGTTTTTGAGAGCAGACAAGAGAGGGTAGGAAGACCCCTAGGCATGTGGTATTGATGGCTACTCTTGCCATGGAGTGAGCAGGAACTGCCCAATAGAGTGGCGGACAACAGGACAAGACTATGGAGCCTATCACACCATACCCTGGCATGTGAGAAAAAAGAAAGGCCCTGTCCTCTCGGTGACCACAGTCCCTCCTTATGGCCTCCCTTGGCCTCTACATTACGTCTAACCTCAGGCTCTAACCCTGGAACCAGGCAACCATTCTTCCAAAAGATGTTTCTGAATCAGGAAGGGAATGGTGGGGGGTGAATCAAGGGCCATTTGTTAAGGCAAGCCATTTTAAAGGTTCAGCAGCAGCCCTGCCTAGGACAGGAGACAGGGAGAAAGAAAGGGAACCAGAGGAAAAACCAATGGAATGTGGCAGAAGCCAAGAACCTTTGTCAGAGAGTTTGGGGCTACACTTTTGTTGGTGATTCTGGACTGGAGAAAGATGCAGAGGATGAATCTTGAAAGAGACCATGAGGAAAGCCAGGAAGGAGATCCTGAAGGGCGGTGTGAAGAGGTGGAGTTCCCTTCCAGGCTATCCCCTGTGTCCAGAGCCCCGCCATGCCGGTGTAACAAAAGCAGGGAATATGACCACACAGAGCTGGAAGCAGAAAAGCCTGGTGCGGCCCAGAGCTGGCTGGCGGGCGGCTGCCAAGACAGCATAGGAAGACTGAGCTGAGACAGCGCGCTAGATACCTACTGTCACAGACGTAGGGTTTGTCATGGTCTTCCTGAGAAGCAGCATCATGTCTCCTCCTGCCACCTGCAGAGCCACGAGCCTGAGGAGACATTGAGTACAGGACACTGGTTATTATGACAGCCACTCAGCTCATGGGCATACACTCTTCAGGGCCCCAGTGAATCACCTACATCACAGCCTCTGTTCCCATGCCAACCCTGCTTTACCAGCAAGAAAACGGAGACCCAGGGGAGGAAGTAACTTGTCCCAAATCACTCAGCTACTCACCTGGCTCGTTCACCCCATTGTTTTCATATTAACTCCAAGAAGAAGGTATACTAGTGGTCCCCTTGTACAGGTGAGGGGACTGAGGCAACAGAGAGGCAGAGTAACTTTCCCAGCGTCATTCACCTACTAAATGCAGAGCCGGAACATAAACAGGATGTGTGACTGAACGGCACTGTCATGGCCTGAGTATGAAAATGCCCAGCTAGTGGCATTATTCTTGGGGGTGATGGAAACCTCAGGAGGCAGAGCCAGACTGGAATTATGTAGGGCAAGCATGGGGCACATCTTTAAAGGTTATACTTGACCTGGGCGTCCTTCTTCCTGCCATATACTCTTGTGCAGCCATATACTCTTGCCACTGGGAGGTTCAGACTCCCCCACAGACCCATAATGATGGAGAAAGCCAAGCGTGGCTGACCCCTCTGAAGCCACGAGCTCCTTTAAGAGGCTTTCTCGAGTGCTTTACCACAGCAGCAGGAGTCTAGCCAATGCGGTCCTGTAGCCATCTAACAGGGTGCCTCTACCACACCACCACACAGTGGAGGAGACATCATACTGCTCTCCTGATGACCACACTGGGGATGGGGCCAGGGAGAACAAGTACAGCGTCACCCCAAGTTCCTGAGCCCACAGCTGCCTGCCCTAAAGGCCTCAGGAGCCCAGCTTCCTCCTTCATGTCTGACCTTCCCAGTAGGGCTGCTTCAAGCAGGGCTCCTATATGTGGTCTACCTCAAGCCTCCAGCTAGGAGCTAAGACATTAACCTTTCAAGGTCAAATGGAGCTGGATTCCTGATACCTACCAGAGCCCTGTGTGTCTCCCTGGATGGATCACGTGACAGGGGGGCTGGCAGAAGGAGCTAGACTTCAGTCATAAGAGAGACTAGCCTGAAAGACTGCCAACAGCTCTGCATCCCCAAACAGCGGCACCAGAAAGCAGCAAGGCTTATTTATAAGCTACTATAAGCCCCAGGCCGGCCTTCCTGTGGTACCTTAGCCTCCTCCAGGTCATTCGCTGTTAATGAGTAGCAGTCAACTCCCAGCCATGGCAAGGGCTGGCTGTGGTCTGATCTTCAGGGGCAGAGAGGAAAAGGTCAGCAGGAGAGGGGCATGACAGGACAGAAGTCTGGGGTGCAGGCTCAAGACCCGCTCTAGAGAAGTGGGGCCCACGGATTCATGGTGGAAAGGCCTGGGATAGATTCTCCCACACATACACATTCACAAATAGAAGTATCCATATCTTACTGGAGACTTCACCGGAGACAGGCCCACTCTCCAGGTCTTTGGCACTCACTCTCCAAGTACACGCACTTCACAATCAATTCCACCTGCCAGACAAATCCTTTTGCCATCTCCTCAGCTTGTCTTTTTTGGAAAAAAAAAAACGGAGGAGGTGGTGGTGGAGGAGGAGGAGGAAAAGGAGGAGAAGAAGGAGAAGGAGGAGGAGAAGAAGGTGAAGAAAAAGAAGAAGAGGAGGAGGAGGAAGGAGGAGGGGG